TCCTCTGGGGTTCCTCTGGGGTTCCTGTGTTCCTCTGGGTTCCTCTGGGGTTCCTCTGGGGTTCTTGTGTTCCTCTGGGGTTCCTGTGTTCCTCTGGGGTTCCTGTCGTGTCCATGTGCTGGAGCTCTGTCTCAGTCTCCTGGTGCAGAGCAGATTGTGGATTTAACAGCTTCACAAGTCGTAGAACATGCACAGGGAACTCCACTCTGCTGCACGAGCTGGAGTTGTGTTTTTATTTCATTCACACATGTTTGAGTAATCTCCAAAAGCTCCAAATGCTCCATTTCAGCTTGTGATGTCATGAAGTGGTAGTTTACAAGTTTACAAGTAACAGCTGCTTTTACCTTTTTCAGCACTTCCTGTATCACCACGTGACATCACACGGTGGAGGAACAGAGTGTAAAACACAAACACACAAGTCCAGGTCTGTTTGTGAGGCAGGAAACTCCATTAAAACAAACATGAAGATGAGAGAAGAGAGAAACACAGACCCTCCTCCTGCTTCTCAGGTGTGTTTCATAAACCTGCTCTGTCAGAATGTCTGTGCTGGATAATTAGGCCTAAAGGTAACGTATGAAAAGAATGAAGAGGGAGGAAGAGGGGAAAACATTTAGTCCTGGTTTAGTCCCGTTTCAGTCCTGGTTTAGTCCTGGTTTCAGTCCTGGTTTAGTCCTGGTTCAGTCCTGGTTCAGTTCTGGTTTAGTCCTGGTTCAGTCCTGGTTTAGTCCTGGTTTAGTCCTGGTTCAGTCCTGGTTCAGTCCTGGTTCAGTCCTGGTTCAGTCCTGGTTCAGTTCTGGTTCAGTTCTGGTTTAGTCCTGGTTTAGTCCTGGTTCAGTCCTGGTTCAGTCCTGGTTCAGTCCTGGTTTAGTCCTGGTTCAGTCCTGGTTCAGTCCTGGTTCAGTCCTGGTTCAGTCCTGGTTCAGTCCTCTGGTTCAGTCCTGGTTCCTGGTTTAGTCCTTGTTCAGTTCCTGGTTTAGTCCTGGTTTAGTCCCTGGTTCAGTCCTCTGGTTCAGTCCTGGTTTAGGTTTAGTCCTGGTTTAGTCCTGGTTCAGTCCTGGTTTAGTCCTGGTTTAGTCCTGGTTTAGTCCTTGTTCCTGATTCATACATTTCACCAAAAACATCATATTTTCTCTTTATTAAATCACTTTGAACTGTTTGTTTTATTCTGTTTTGTCCTGATTAAAAGCACCACAAACACATTTTTACATCATTATTTATTTGGACATAATTATCGCCCTCGTTATTTTTCAGTCTTTTCGTCGTAATCGTCTCCTGCTCCATTTTTTTTTAATTCAGTGGAATATGCATCAGATTCCATAAATACATGAGTGGATGAATATTCAGCAGAGACTCACACAGATCTGTTCTGGAGAATCAAGATCACACACGACACGGAACAACAGGAACAGAAGAAATCTAACGCTGCTGCTTTAGTCCTGCTTTAGTCCTGGTTTAGTCCTGGTTTAGTCCTGGGTTAGTCCTGGTTTAGTCCTGATTTAGTGCAGGTTTAGTCCTAGTTTAGTCTTAGTTTAGTCCTGTTTTTAGTCCTGTTTTTGTGCTGGTTCAGTCCTAGTTTAGACCTGATTTAGTCATGCTTCAGTTCTAGTTTAGTCCTACTTCAGTAGTTTAGACCTGGTTTAGTCCTGGTTTAGTTTTAGTTTAGTCCTGGTTTAGTCCTGCTTGCATCAGTCGTGGTTTAGTTTAGTTTTACTGGAGGGACAGAGCCCTGGTTCTGTTCTAGTTGAGTTCTTTTTAACCCTCACACTCTCCTCGGGGTCACATTGACCTGAAGATTGTATTTTCCTTCCTGCTCTCTTGGGGCGGGTCAATCAGACCCAAAAATGTATTTGCTCGCTTAGCGAGAATTTATTTGAGAATAAATTTTTGGGTCCTGTCTTTTTTTTGTGAGAGCGTGAGGGTTAAAATGGTGGCACAGTGGTTAAGACTCTAACCTCATTTCAAGAAGATCCCAGGTTCAGATCATGGACGTTATTTGCGGCAATACCACAACTTCAACCTAAAATGTCTCTGTCTGATCTGAACAGTCCCTAAACCCCAGAACATGAAGCCATCATCCATGATGAGTGAGTGAGTGAGTGCTAGTGCAGCCTCTGCAGCTCAGGGAGGGAATTCTGAAGTCTGTCCAAAAACTGAGAATGAGACAAACTTGGATGTGTCTCTGTGCAGGTTCAAGACTCTTTGTTATGATATTTCCTTGTGTTTTATGAGTCATCGTCCTCATGGATCAATAAAGTTTGTCGAAGTTTTAGCTCAGCTGGACAGAGAGCTCGACTCCGAGTGTTCAGTAACAATCGCTCTTTACTTCATTTTGTTATTTTTTTCAAACTTGTGATTTGAGTCGGAGCCACAAAGAAAAGATCATTTACACTTCAGACGCTGCAGCACTCACTCCTTTCACTTTAGTTTGTTATTTTCTCTTTGTCATTTGTCTCTCTGCTCCTTTTATTTGTATCCCTCTCTCTCTCTCTCTCTCTCTCTCTCTCTCTCTCTCTCTCTCTCTCTCTCTCTCTCTCTCTCTCTCTCTCTCTCTCTCTCTCTCTCTCTCTCTCTCTCTCTCTCTCTCTCTCTCTCTCTCTCTCCCCCATTTCTGTAAGTCTTATTTTTTGTCATCCACTCTCTCTCCTCTTTTACCCTCTCTTACTCCCTCTCTCTCTCACTTATCACTTCTCTCTCTTCCTGTCTTCTTTCTTTCTCTCCTCTCTCTCCTCCTTGTTTCCCCATCTCCTTCTCTGTAACTCTCTTCTCCTCACCCCTCTCTTCTCTCTCCTCCATTCTTTCGCTTTCTTCCTTTCTCTCTTTCTGATCTTCTCCGTAACTCAACAATTTTCCTCCTCTCACTTTCTCTCTCTCTCTTTCCCATCTCCTTCTCTTTAATTCTCTCTTCTCTTCACCCCTCTCTTCTCCCTCTCCTCCATTCTCTCACTTTCTTTCTCTCTCTTTCTTTCTCTCTTTCTTTCTCATCTCCTTCTCCATAACTCTCTCTTCTTCAGCCCTCTTCTCTCTCTCCCCCATTCACTCACTTTCTTTTTCTTTCTCTCTTTCCCATCTCCTTCTCTATAACTCTTATTATTTCTCTTCCTCTCTCTTCCCCTGTGCCCCTCTCTTCTCTCTCTCCTCTTCACCCCCTCTTACTCACTCCCTCTCTCACCATTCCTCTCTTCTCTCTCTCCTCCATTCTCTCACTTTCTTCTCTCTCTCTCTCTTTCTCATCTCCTCCTCCATAACTCTCTCCTCCATCTCTCTTCTCTCACTTTCTCTCTCTCTCTCTTTCCCATCTCCTTTTCCAGTAACTTATTATTTCTCTTCCTCTCCCTTCCACTCTCTCTCCTCCCTCTCTTGTCTCTTCACCCCTCCTCTCTTCTCCCTCTCTCACCGTTCCTCTCTTCTTTCTCTCCTCCATTCTCTCACTCTCTTTTCTCTTTTCGTAGTCGCAGACAGTTATGCAACCGAAGTCTGTCGTGTGAATGGAGAGAACACTTTCTCTCTTTCACGTTCAGACGAGTGCGGCAGAGTGGTTAGCTCTCGGCGAGGGGGTTGCGGGTTTGATTCCCGTGGCGATGTTGACGTTGCGGCGGTGGAAGCGTGTGCAGCTGAGGGCGCAGGTCGGAGGTCAAAGGTCGCTCTGTTTGTTTCTGTTGTTCCTCATCACGAGGTCAAACGCTCACATCTGTCCATCCCCCGCAGACCGGAGCGAGGGAGAGAGGGAGGGAGGGAGGAGAGAGAGAATAAGGCAGAGGAGTGAAGGAGTAAACGAGGAGAGAGGGAGGAAGTGGTGGAAAGGAAGGAAAAGGGAGGAGGGAGAGATTACGGGGGAGAACAATGAAGGTAGAGGGAGGAGGAGGAGGAGGGTGCAAAGAGAGAGAGATTAAAGGAGAAGAGTTAAGGGGAGAAAGGAGGGGAGAGTGGAAGGAGAGGAAAGACAGAAGAGAAAAGGGGAGAAGATAGAGAGGGGAGAAGGGAAAGGGGCAAGGGAGAGAAAGATGAAGAGAGAGGGAGGCAGGGTAGAGAAAAAGAAGGTAGAGAAAGAGTGATGAGAGGAAAGAGGGGGTGAAGAGAGAGAGGAGAGAGGAGAGGGAGGAGAGACACGTGCCTTCAGTCTGTGAGCTCCATCTGGACCTGATCTAAACATCTGCTCCACACAAAACCAATGTGTCCCAGGGGAAGGACACCACGCTCCCAGAAGGTCCTGTTTAGACCTGGTTTAGTCCTGGTTCAGTCCTGGTTTAGTCCTGGTTTAGTCCTGGTTCAGTCCTGGTTTAGTCCTGGTTCAGTCCTGGTTAGTACTGGTTTAGTCCTTGGTTCAGACCTGGTTTAGTCCTGGTTTAGTCCTGGTTTAGTGGTTTAGTCTGGTTCTGGTTCCTGGTTAGTCCTGGTTCAGACCTGGTTTAGTCCTGGTTTACTCCTGGTTTAGTCCTGGTTTAGTCCTGGTTTAGTCCTGGTTCAGTCCTGGTTTAGTCCTGGTTCAGTCCTGGTTCAGTCCTGGTTTAGTCCTGGTTTAGTCCTGGTCTAGTACCTGGTTTAGTCCTGGTTCAGACCTGGTTTAGTCCTGGTTTAGTCCTGGTTAGTCCTGGTAGTCTGGTTTAGTCCTGGTTCCCTGGTTTAGTCCTGGTTTAGTCCTGGTTCAGACCTGGTTTAGTCCTGGTTTTCCTGGTTAGTCAGTCTGGTTTAGCCTGGTTCAGTCCCGGTTTAGTCCTGGTTTAGGCCTGGTTAGTCAGTCCTGGTTTAGTCCTGGTTTAGTCCTGGTTTAGTCCTGGTCAGTCCTGGTTAGTCCTGGTTCAGTCCTGGTTTAGTCCTGGTTTAGTCCTGGTTAGTCCTGGTTTAGTCCTGGTTCAGTCCTGGTTTAGTCCTGGTTCAGTCCTGGTTTACTCTGGTTTAGTCCTGGTTTAGTCCTGGTTTAGTCCTGGTTCAGACCTGGTTTAGTCCTGGTTTAGTCCTGGTTTAGTCCTGGTTTAGTCCTGGTTAGTCCTGGTTTAGTCCTGGTTCAGTCCTGGTTTAGTCCTGGTTTAGTCCTGGTTAGTGGTTCAGTCCTGGTTTAAGTCCTGGTTTTAGTCCTGGTTCAGTCCTGGTTTAGTCCTGGTTTAGTCCTGGTTCAGTCCTGTTTAAATTCTAGTCCTCATT